TACACAAATTCTTAACCGAAATTCCTTTTTTCCATTTAACGGGTTTTTAGGTCCAAAACAATTGCTAATACTCCTAAAAGTAAGAATAATTCAATAGTGTCTGTTTTTGTCGACAGGCTACCTGAAAAGTACCATGGACTGACACTACCACACAAGTTACCGCCGCGTAAAGAACCTTTACTTGTCAGTGGACTCCCTATGTTGGGTTACATGGAGCAGAGTGTGGCAACCGCTCTAACCAAAGCGCTCACTGCCGTGGGCTGTTTCAAACCGAAGTACCCATTCATTGATGCTAAGAAATCTGCTCTGCTTTATATTGGCTATTATCTTAAAGGTCAGTAAAAAGTAACATAAACATTAAAACTTCTAAAAGCTGACAGAAGGCAAAGCAAATAAGGCAGCCTCGCGGGCTAGTATAAGAATTGGGAGCTAAAGCAGAGACAAGTTATGAATGGCGGCCGGAAGTTGACAGTTCTTTCTCCGAGCGCCTAAGACAGATCTTGTGTCTGTATGTGTGAGATACATAAACAAGCGTTTTTTTAATTGACGGTTGATGTCAAAGTGCATCAGAAGTAGTTTCATTCTCCTTCCGTTCGTGTCCTTTTTTCTTTATTTTCACTTTCATAGAGGAAGTAACGCTGCCAGTTTTATTAAATGACTGTTTGGGTCTGCCGAAAATATTCAACATTGTTCACCTTTTACGCATCTGCAATCTGTAATACTTCGTTTCCCTTTTCATTCTCGTAAACTCAGTGAAATCCGTACCCGTTATATCGCACTAGAAATCCACTTTAAACTGGGAGTGGTTCTTTTTCGAGTCAAGAAATTTTAGAGAGAAGTTGAACTAACACCATTTTGTTTTCTCCTTTCAGCCTACAACCCTAAGAGCAGTGAGGACGTACGAAAAAAATACAAACAGAAATTGATGAGGTTCGAAGAAGAGTGTGAACTGATTGGTTACCTCGGCAAAGAGATGACCGCTCGCTACCGAGAACCAGAAGAACTACCGATCGACTTCGATCACAAACTGTCAGTTTTTCTGGCACTTAAAGACATAGAACCCACACCAACCTGGTGTGCGTGATACTTTCATCACGATGAAAATCGTTTCCACTTGACAGTTTCATACGACGCTGTGGAGAAGGACAAAGCGTTATTTATTTTCAACGAAAATTCGTTTACTTCGAACTCGTAACTTGCGTTTGGGTCTAACTTGAACTCGTATTGTACCATAGAAATGTAAAAAAAATAATGTCAGCTCCATAGTGGCAATTGTGAATAAAATTCGTTTTGATTTGTGATCGGTTTGTTTCACTCTTCTTGTTGGTTAACACTCGGCAATGATCATAAAAATGCGCCTTATGATTTCCTTGACAACAAAGTATTTAAGTGTTCCCTCCTCTGAAATTGGATCTGGCGCGTATTTGATCATCAATAAAAACAAATTAATTCTGCTAGACTATCATGTTTTGTGCGCAGTTTAAACAAATGGTCACGATTGCAGATTCTTTTAGTGGTGAAGAAAGAGAAAGGGTAAAAGAAGAAACTGCGACAACGTAGATGATGTCATTTCACCGAAAATACAAACATCGCACAGGATGGATTTGCAATTTCCGCAATACTGCATGAGGGATTTTCTTCAGCTTAAGCAAAAACGCAACACGCCATGAAGCAATGACCCTATCTACCCTTAGTTAAGTTTGTCAAATATTGTTAAAGGCAACACTTGTTTTCTGCAAAACTCAACAGAGTTTGGAAAACTTCATTCTCGGAGACCCAGCGGCTGAGTCGATTTCAAGATAGGGCATGAAGAGCCCCTGGGGACATTGTCTTACAAGACTAGTTCCAAACGGTCGCAGTCGTTCTGCCATCTGATTGGTGCCAGAAAATCTTTGTGTTTTTCTGCCCAATGAGAGTGAAGTGTACTTTAGAAACCTTTCGTGTGTTCTAACACGAAGACATATGCTAGTAGCTACTAGTACCTCAGTTGCTCGCTATGTTTGTTTGGACCGTGCGACGGAGATTTGCTTGAGGTAAAAAGTTTCAGTCTCAGCACACAATGTGAGAGAAATCGATCAGATTGTCCACGAAAATCTTATCGGAAATTATACTGAATACTTTCGCAGGTATCCCTAGAGAACGTGTTTTAAAGTTTGCGAGGTTTGTTTACTACACGATGGTTGCAGTCATTGATATGTCGCTTTAAACGTTAAACGAGATTTAAGCTTAAGA